GTTACCCCACACAGGACAGGGCCCCTGGGGAACAGGAGTTCAACCCATTACCCCACACAGGACAGGGCCACTGCGTAGAATTCCTGTGATGGAGGAGGGGTTTCCTGCATGTACGACCCTCTCCTATCCCCCCCAGCATTGATCAACTCCTTCATATATTTTCTTGTATATTTGGGATCATTACCATGTATAATGACCCACATATAAATCAACTTTTTCACATCACATTCTCCTCAGGCACTTTTCTGGTATGATTTTGAATGTACTGTAGACACTATGATAAGTTGGACAAGTCCTGAGGCAGCAAAGCAGCACGATGCCAAACACTCCCACCACCATGCTGGGTATGAGATTCTTTTTCTCAATTTTTGAGTCATGACACCTGGTATTGTGCCCAAACAGCTTAACTCATCAGTCCAGAGCACATCATTCTCAAAATGTTATTCTGATGTTTAAAGGCAAACTTCAGTCTTAGTTTGATGTTCTTTTTTGCTGACCTCCCATGTAGGCCAAATTTATGCAGTCTCTTAATCATAGTAGACATGTCCACTTTCACATAGAACATGGGTTCCCAAACTATTCAGCGCACGACTTACTGCTGGTAATGCGAACCAAGCTTTTGCGCCATTTGTACCGGGACCTTATAGCCAGCAACAACAAGCTCCTTACCCCATACTCCTGAAGCACCTCCCCAGGACCCCGGAGGGACACCATCGTATGCCTTTTCCAAGTCCAAAAAACACATGTAGACTGGTTTGGCAAACTCCCATGAACCCTCCAGTATTCTTGGGAGAGTGAAAAGCTGGTCCAGTGTTCAGCAGCCAGGAAGGAATTGTTCCTCCTGAATCTGAGGTTCTACCAATGGGTGGGCCCTCCTCTCCAGTACCCCGGCATAGACCTTCCCAGGGAAGCTGAGGAGTGTGATCCCCCTGAAGTTGGAATACATCCTCCAGTTCCCACCACCCCAGTCTGTCAATCCAATGTAGAGGAGGTCAGTCAGCCAAGACAGCCCAACAACATCAAGAGCTGTCAAGAACTCAGGACGAATCTCATCCACCCCTGGAGCTTTACCACCGAAGAGCTGTTTGACTACTTCAGTGACCTAAGCCCTAGAGATGGGCAAGTCCCCCCCTAAGTTTTCCAGCTCTACTTCCACCAAGGTGTATCAGTGGGATTCAGGTGACCCTTGAAATATTCTTGCTACCACCCGACTTTATCCCCAGTTGAGGTCAGCAGTAAACAGCATGAGTAAAGCCCTGCTCTCCCCCCCCCCCCCCCGTCACCTGACAATTTGCCAGAACCTTTTTGAGGCCAATCGAAAGTCCTTCCACACCCGAGTTTCTGCTTCGGCAACCACCCAAGCTGCTTGTGCTTGGCCTGCCGATACCTGTCAGCTGCTTCAGAAGTCCCACAAGCTAACCAAGGTTGGAAGTCCTCCTTCTTCAGCCTGACAGCTCCCTTTACCGATGGTGTCCACCATCAAGTTCGGGGATTGCTGCTGCAACAGGTACCAACAACCTTACGGCCACAGCTCTTAATGGAGTAGCTGAACATGGTCCATTCAGCCGCAATGTCCCCTGTCTCCCTCGATTAATTTTTTTTTAACCACAAACTCCACAACGCATTAAAAATGATCATGTGACCCACCAGTTCAGAAATATAAGTTGCTGGCGGCCGTGCTGCTCCTGGGTGGGTCCGGGGC